ATATTATAATTATTATTATTTTTTATACCATTTCACTATTAAAATTTAATAATAATTAATAGCTGCCTCTGAAATGGCTGACTACGCGCCCAACGAGATCGTTGACATGACGTTGGCTTTAGGAGAAAGCCGAAATAATTATCGTGCTGCGGCAAGAATTTATACTGAACGCTATCAAGACAGACGACATCCCGAAGCTATGGCTATCAGACGTTTAACTCAAAGAGCTCGTGGTGGACACATGGTTCGTCAACGTGGGTGCCATCAATATGATGAAAATGATAATCGGGTTGTGACTATTCTGGCAATAATTCATCTTGACCCACGGATAAGCGCTCGTCGAGTCGAAAGGGAAATCGGTATTCCAAAAAGTACATTTTTAAGAATTATGAAGGTACTTAGATATCATGCATATCATATTACTCTGGTCCAAGAGCTATAGTTTGCTCATTTTCAACAGCGTATTGTATTTTGCCAATGGGCTTTACAAATGATAGAAAATGACCCAGACTTTTTTAATTTTGTTCTTTTTTCTGATGAGGCAAAATTTCAAAGTGATGGGGAATTGAATAGACATAATTGTCATTACTGGTCTGATGTTAATCCTCATTGGGTCAGAACTGTAAACCATCAAAGACGTTGGAGTATTATGGTATGGTGTGGGATTATTAATGGATATTTGATTGGCCCTTACTTTTTCCAAGAAAATGTTAATCAACACACGTATTTAACGCTAATAAGAGATGAACTACCTGTATTGATGGAAGATGTTGACTTTGAAACGCGACGGAGAATGTGGCTCCAGCAGGACGGCGCAGCACCATATTTCGCTCGAATTGTCAGGACTTTTTTGAATAACAGTACGGTAACAGATGGATTGGTCGAGGTGGTCCGGTTGAATGGCCTGCTTGCTCACCCGAGCTTACATCACCAGATTTTTACTTATGGGGATACTTAAAAAATGCCGTTTTTGCGGAAAGGCCCACCACAAGATTAGACATGATGGACAGAATTCGTCGAGCTTGCGATGCCATTCCAAGGCAAACTTTGCTAAACACCGTTCGACACTTCCAAAGGCGTTTGACTATGTGCCTGGAAGCAAATGGTCATAATTTCGAACATTTGCTTCGAGGCTAGATAAACACATAAGTGAGAGGCCAAGGGACTCACTTGAATCAAGCACCCCGAACAGTGAGAGGCGAGGGGACTCACTTTAATTAAGCACCCCGAACAGTGAGAGGCACGGGGACCCACTCAAGCACCCCAAAGGAAACAGTCCTTACTACGTCCACGTCGTTGTTTCTGGGTAGCGCTAAACGTAAGGTTGACACATTTACAACAGAAGCTTCAATGATCATGAAGTTTCCGTTAAACAAACATCATACATGGGATAGAGATGTGTGGGACTGGGGGATGTCTGGTATAACAGTTTAGCACGTGTAGGCCAAGCAACAGGGATTTTTTCATGACAAAAATAATACCTGGAAACCGAGTGTGCAATCGTGTGCAGATAAGTTGAGACATCATTGGTGTTATGTTTTGGACACGCAACTCCTGTCACCCTATTTGTTATAAACATTTTAAACGAAAAAAAGGCATTTTTTTAGTTATTTGTTAATAACTCTGCGAATAATGAAGCGATGTTAATGATATAGATACACAAAATGTACGTAGAACAATTACGAACAAAACTAGACCTCGAGCGACAAAATCGGATAATTAGGAACCGAGGAAAACCCGGAAAAGTGGCGAAATTTAACATTTATTTAAAAATTCATATCTCCGTCACTTTTTATTTTGTAGGACTGAGTCTTTGCGAAAATGTAGTGTTATTTATGTACTTCATGTGTGCCAAAAGCTGACGCTGTGAAGTAAATAGTTTTCATGTAATCGTAATTTCAGTTTTTCTAAGCGATATTTTTCATCATCTCTCCTTGCGACAGTGATTTTTTCATCTTAAATTTGAAAACGGTTTTAAAAAATGCAGATTCCACCCAACAAAACGTATTTTCTAGTTTTTCACTTAAATTTTTGCAAGTGTGTGATAAATGCCGGGAAAGTCGACTAAAAACGGCTGAGCGCACGGAAACGTTCGAGTGGTGGGGGGAGCAGCAGCCGAGGAGAGGCACACATATATAGTAATAGAGGCGCGCTGCGCCCTTTTATAATTTTTCCATCTCAATATCTCTGCAACCATAAATGTTATCTTAACAATTTTTTTTTTATTTCGGATCTACTGAACTCCGGGAAATCAATTATTTATTTAGAATTTATAAATAATCAATAAATTAATTACTTTCCGATGTTCTTCAAAATAAATGTTGTCATTATGTTTACGAAGCTGGATTTTGGTCCAGCCCCCATTCCCTTTTCTTTTCATCTATCTCTCTCCTTCTCTCTTTCTCTGTCTCTCTCTCTCTCTCTGTCTCTTTCTCTCTTCCAATGGAATACTATTTCTCCCTCTCTCTTATACTTTCTCTCTCTTTCTCGCTCTGTCTCTTTCTCTATTTCTCTCTTCATCTTTATTGTACTAAGGCTACGACCGTTGGGCATTCAAACGAGAAGAGAAAGTGACGCCACGCGCTCAGTTAACGTACAGATTTTCGAGTGGATAGACTGTGCGTCGCATCTCTGTGCAACAAATCACGATATTTCTTAAACGAAGTTATTTTTTTCACTAAATTTAACACTTTAAAATACTTAATAATTAATAAAAAGTATAAGACTTGCTCCAAAATATTGCGAACATTATGGAGCGGAGCGGAGAAGGTGATACGAAAGCATCAACGTCTGCTGGAGTGAGGTACGAATGAATTACATGATCACTCAAAAAATATAAAAAATATCTGTTTTTTGTCTTATGTCTATAAATGTTTTATTTAGACACGATGAAATAGAACCCGATGGAAGTGAGCAACAATGGGAAGATATTGACGATTGCTGTTTACTTTGCGGAAAATCTGTGGAGGCATCAAAATGCTGCGTTGTGAAAGAACGAGGCATACAAAATTTCATACAAACAAGTATAAGACGTAAAGACAACAAACATATTATATTAGATAATCTGAAAGAAATCACTGTTCATCAAACGTGTCAAAGAACGTATACGAGAGAATCGAATATTGAAATGGCATTAATAGCATTTTCGGACGCCTGTCGATCAAATCGAAAAAGGCGTTAGGATGGTCGGGATTTTGATTTTTCTGAGAACTGTTTTTTTTGTTCTAATTCATTGAACCATACGCACCTATCGTGTAAAAAAGTTATACAGCCATTGACTATTGATAATATATTAGCACAATTAGAAGTATATCCGAAAAATGAAATTAACAAGACTGTTTTGTCTTGAAAGGTTCACCTCTGAAATGCCGTAAGTGGCATTCCAGCAAATTTTTATTGAAAAGAATTAAAAGGAAATGATTTTAATTAAACAACTCAATTTCGCGTGACCTGACCCTTAAATCTACAAATGAATCAACCTTTAAGATTTTGATTCAAAACTGGTCCCTGCGGTTTGTTAATGTAGCACTGGTAACAAATAAACAACACTATTTTTGTGGGAAAAAAGCCTTTCGGCATAAAAAAACCCAATTTATTAAAATGATACAGATTGGATAAATTCGGATGAATTTGAATGTAAGGATGATAGAGTGATGCCGCACATAGTGACACGCACAAAGGTCGCAATTATTTTCGCACGGTACTATCACATGTTCACATAAATTTTACGCGTGCGCGCGCGGATGATTTTTGCACACACATTCACACACTAAATAAATGTTGCTGGTAATATCAATGGTATCACACAAAGATGATTATAGAGAGAGAAATGAAGTTAGCTTGATATCGGTGATATCATACAAAATGAAAACAAGATTGACAAGACTTATGAGATTAACTTGATATCGGTGATATCATACAAAGGCAATAGTAGACAAAGGAAAAGGTTCGTGGATTACTATCTGTAATCACCGCGTGGCAAGGGCCACTTATTTGTTTGTTATAAATAATAAACACTAGAGTTGCGCAATACGTTGTTTTGCGTCTTTGGTATTGTTAATCGTTGACGATTTTAATTATCACGATCACAAAATGAACCGGATTGCGTTGAATTTCACGGATGCAAACGAAGGTAGAAATTCGCGATCGCCCTCTACGCAAAGGCTGCTCGAGCTATACTAACCACGTGCTCGCGGTTAAATTGGCGCGAACTATCTAAAAACCGCGAAAGCATGCGCAGTTGGTGGCGCCATCTCCCGCAGTTCTCACTCAAGCTCGGCTCTCACGCTCACATGTATACACACATGTGAGACGACGGAACATACTCCCGGCCGACGCTGCGAAATAGAAGTTAGACTTAACCTATGAAGCAGATTACGCTAATAATACAACGAAGTTATAGATAAATACAGAGGATTCTTAATTCAAAAATGACTAACGCAATTACATAACGATAACATATTTACAACTTAAGCTAGTTAGCAACTAGAATCTTTGGTTACTTGCGAACGGACTAGACAAGTAGCGACAAACAATTTCCGTTGGAGAGATTGTTTGATTGATTAGGTGAATCACATATCGGGATTAAGCCAGATTGAGCAAGGATAATGTCTTTATGACAAACGCACAGCTACCCTAAATACAATAATTGCACGATAGGATTCGAAGTCTCAACTTCCCCAGGATCCAATGTACCGGATTGGATATCACGAACCAGAAGTTACCCTTCTGGCCTTCTGGCTATAGAACTCTCTGAGTTCTACCATTCTCGGACCAGGCTTCATCGCTCTTCCAGAATACGCCGTAGCTCGACTCGATTATGGCAAGCCAAAGCGCGCACATCTGGGGCGTTCCTTTTATCGATCATACCCCCTGAAGTTGTTGAGACTTTGAAAGAGGCGGATCATCTTGAACCACCGGCAACACGCAGAGTCGAGTGATATTGCGTTTATATACGCCTGAGGAAGTCTTCACAGACGCAACCCGAGCGATGCTGTCACTCCCAGGAAAGACCTCGAGGACCACTCCCAGTGGCCATTTTGCGCAATGTGAGAGATCGTCCATGAGAAGGACGATCATTCCAGGTTGGAGTGTCGAGTTGGAGGTTTGCCATTTTTGCCGAATCTGAAGTTCGTGTAAATACTCCTTATGCCATTTGTTCCAGAAGTTCTGACGGGCCTTGATCAAGAACTTGGAGGTGGAAAGACGATTATCTGGAACTGATAAAAGAGATTTTTCGGGTAAGACATTTATAGGTCTACCGATCAAAAGGTGAGCTGGAGTGACTGCTAAAGGATCATTCGGATCGGCGGAGAGAACACAAAGAGGTCGCGAGTTTAAGATCGCTTCAATTTTTATCAGAAAGGTTTCTAGTTGCTCATAAGTGAGCTGTTGATTTAGGACGCGCTTCAAATGATGTTTGAAGCTCTTAACGGCCGCTTCCCAAAGACCCCCATAATGTGGTGATAAAGGAGGGTTCAAGTGCCACTCCACACGTTTCGCAATCCTATTTTCTCCAACTTGTTTGCGGAATTCCGGGCTTTCGAACAAATCGTAGAGTTCTTGAAGTTCACGATTTGCTCCCACAAAATTGGTACCGTTGTCAGAATACATGTGACTAGGGAGACCTCGATGACATGTAAAACAATCAAAGGCATCTAAGAAACCTTGAGCGGATAAATCGAGCGCTAGTTCGATGTGAACGGCCTTTGATGCTAAGCATACGAAAACACAGCCATACACCTTGAGGAAGGACTTGTTACGATGAGCTTTCTCCTTGATGAGAAGTGGACCAAAGAAATCGACCCCTGTGCGATCAAAAGCAGGGGATTCTGAAACTCGAGGCTCCGGCAAATTTCCCATTTGCGCATGAGCTATCGGTGGTTTTTGACGAATGCAATCTACGCAACGTCGAATGACTCTTCTAACTTGATTTTTTCCATTCAAGATGAAAAATTTATTGCGAACAGCATAGAGAGTGGTTGAAATACGAGCGTGAAGATTGGAAAGGTGAGTCTGACGAATGATCAAGTCTGTAATATGATGGTTCTGAGGCAAAAGAATCGGATGCCTTTGATTGTATGGAAGCTGAGACTTGTTCAAACGTCCACCCACACGGATAACCTTATCGTCTCCTATGAAGGGAGCCAAGTTATCGAAACTAGTTCCCCGTTTGAAGGAATTAGAAGTTTGAGACAATTTACGAAGCTCATTGGGAAACCTTTCTTGTTGCATCGACTTAACGACGCTAATTTCGGAAGCCATGACTTCCGAAGAAAGAAGGGGACGAACTAACTGAAGAATTTTCTTCATCCTGATTGAAGATTCTTCTACGTCGGGAAACAATTGAGTTGTCTTACCTTGATCACGAGACCTTTGTCTCCATCGAAGAACATATGCTATTACTCTAGTCAATCGACCGTAGACGGAGAAACGTGAATAGATTTCGCTGAATGATGAATTTGGTGTTGTCAACAGACACACTCCTTTCTTAAGACCAGGAAGCTCTTTAGGAGAAGTTTCAACGGATTTGGGCCATTCTTGTGAAGGCAGGGAAAGCCAAGATGGTCCTGAAGTCCAAAGTGAGTTATCTAGAAAGTCGGCTGGTAGTTGTCCTCTAGAAAGGGCGTCTGCAGGGTTGTCCTCTGAACGGACGTGTCTCCAGGAAACTTGTTCACCTAACGTTTGAATATCAGCAACCTTGTTGGATTCGAAAACTCTGAGGAGATGAGGAGCCCTTTTCAACCACGCGAGAACAATAGTGGAATCAGACCAGAATATTGTTTGATCAATTGGAAAATCGAATTGAGACTTAGCATCGACGTAAAGTTTTTTGAGAACCGAAGCAGCGCACAATTCCAATCGAGGGATTGTCACGCCGCTCAAGGGAGCGACTCGAGATTTACTACAAACTAAGCGAATTATCACGTTGTTTGAGGAGTCTACAGATTTCAAGAACAAGCAGGCACCATAACCGTAGTTGCAGGCATCACAGAAGCCATGAAGTTCAATCCTAGTTGGATTTGGAATTAAAAATTGACGAGGAAACGAGACCTGTTTCAGAGATGATGATTGAAGAACGAAGGATTTCCATTTGGTATGGATATCTTGAGGAAGCAATTCGTCCCAGCCAACCTTGGCCTTCCAGCAATCCTGAATCAAGGTTTTGGCTAACAATACGACTGGTCCTAATAAACCTAAAGGGTCAAATATCTTTGAGATTTCAGACAAAAGCTGTCTTTTGGTTGAAGTAGCTTGAAGATCGATACAACTCACAGAATATTGCAGGATGTCCCTTTGAGAATCCCACACGACACCCAAAGTTTTCTGAATGGGATCTTCTCTGACAACAGTCAAGATCGAACACCTTCTTGTCAATGGTATTCATAGCAGATAGATGCTTTGAAGCCCATTTTAGAATGATGAAACCTCCTCTACGCAACAAAGCTATCATTTCATCACGAATTACCAAAAGTTCTTCAAGAGTATTTGAACCAGAAATAAAGTCGTCTACATAAAAGTCACGAAAGAGTAATTTACTAGCTCTTGGAAAATCTCTGGCCTCGTCACGAGCAAGTTGTTGAATGGTGCGAATTGCAAGGAATGGAGCTGCAGCTACCCCAAAGGTAACTGTATTGAGTTGGAAGGTCTTGACCTCTCCTTCATGATACCAGAGAATCCTTTGGTATTTTCGATCATCGGGATGAATTAAAATCTGACGATACATCTTTTCGATGTCGGCAGTGATCGCAAAGGAGTGAGTACGAAAACGAAGAACTTGTTCGAAAATAGTGTTTTGTATAGTTGGGCCTACCATGAGCGTATCATTGAGAGAAATGCCCGTAGAAGTTTTAGAAGAGGCGTCGAAAACAACTCTAACTTTAGTAGTCTCACTAGATTCCTTTACGACTGCATGATGGGGTAGAAAATAACCATCTTGGTTATCCTCACAAAGAGTCATGTGACCCAGAGAAATATACTCATCCATCACCTTGGAATACTCAACCTTCAGTGACGGATTCTTAGCAAATTTTGCTTGGAGGGAATCGAAACGTTTGAGAGCTTGAGACTTAGAATTACCTAAATCAAATTTGGAGTCTCTGAATGGAAGACGAACGATATAACGACCAGAAGAATCACGTTGGGTGTGAGCAATGTAATGTTGTTCACATGCAACCTCATCACGAGATTTATTGGGCTCATGATCAAGATCTTCGATCAGCCAAAAACGTTCGATGAGCTTATCTAACTTAACCATGTGACAAGACGCAGAACTATAAGATGACTGGTCAATGCTCCCACCAGCTACAATCCATCCTAAACTTGTCTTTTGCAAAATGATCTCGGAATTTTCCCGTTGGAGTTTAATCTGACCAACGGCTAAAACTGATAAGGTGACACCGGATGATAGCAAAACATCAATGGACTTAGGTAAATAAAACTGAGGATCTGCTAGTTTTATGTTTTTGGGGATGTCGAAGAACTCACGTGGAAAAACGTCGTTAGGCACAGCTTCGGCAATCTTTGGAACTATTAAAAGTTGAATTTGTTGAATATGGTCGTTATATTTAGAGTGGATACTAGCTTGAATGTACCTTTGTGAAACAGTGCATAAACCATCAACTGCTCCAATGCTGACTGAACAGAGAAACTCAGACAAACGCAAAGATTTTGCAAAATTTTCGGTAATTAAATTTACAGTTGAACAAGAATCTAATAAAGCGCGTGCCACGACAAGATTACCACGATTGTTTTTGACCTTGACCACAGCTGTAGTCATCAATTGTGACTCTGAAGGAAAAACCACTGAAGCAAGTGTGCGTTGAACTAGTCAACTCGAAGTATCGGTGGGAGTGGAGGATTTATTTCCATTTGGTTTGGACATACTAGTATTATGGAGAAGGGTGTGGTGCCTCTTGCCGCACTCTTTACAAGTTTTCGTGCTACCGCACGGGAATTTATGGGCCCAGAGACAATTGAAACAAAGCTTGTTATTCTTTGCGTAATCCCAGCGTAATTGAACGTCGAGAGATTTGAAAGATTCGCATTTGAAAAGTTGGTGCGAACCTTTACATTTGGGACACACCAGAGGAGTCCGAGCCGTTGGTGTTGACGAAGTCGACGGCTGAGAGAGCGTGGTGGCGAAAGAGGTGGCAGTGGTTTTGGAGCTCTTTGAAGCTCGTTGAGGATTAGAAGCAGCGGGACGCTTTTTCGAGTTAGATTGATAATCATTGGATTCATCAAAGGCTTCTTGCTTGAAAATGGCTCTCTGGATGAATTTGAACAAAGAGTCCAACGATGGTAACTCATTGACATCTAACTTGTCGTTCCAACGACCATAAAGATAAGGAGGGAGGCGTCTTTCAATACAACGAACCACCAGATCCTCGCCATAATTTACATCGAGGCGTTTGAGGACGTTAATATGTTGCCGAGCCGAATCGTACAATTCAGAAAGAGTGACCTCCTTTTGGTCCTTGTGCTTTCCGACCCTTGGAAGATCAAGCACGGCATTCAGATGCCGAGTGGCTACGATACGCTTGTGATCGTAAAAATCGAGGAGAGCTCGCCACGCATTGAGATAATCTTCCGCATTCATCTCATACTCATCGATCTTAGTGCGGGCGCTGCCTATCACGCTCGTGAATAGGTAATGAACCTTAGCATCATTGGAGAGTGCATTTTGATTGTGAACAAGAGCGGTAAATTGGCTCTTGAAAGAAGCCCACTTCGCGCGAGAACCGTCAAACTTTTCGAGATCAATCTCTGGAAGTTTCGCTCGTAATTTTTGTTCGCTTACAGTGATATTTGTGGCAGTCATAGTAGAATTAGCTAACGGGTTGGGTAACGGTCGTGGTTGGTGAGCGTCGTTGTACAGTTTGGTTAAAATAGTAGCAGTGTCATAGTATCGAGTGGTCAGATTGTCAAATGAGGTTATGAGTTCATTTTCTGGGTCAATGTTAATCAGTTCGTCGATGAGATTCACCAGTTCGGTTTTTTTGTCATCAAGTCAGTGAGTCGTAGATTGGCGTTAATAGCATCTGGGTCAACAGTAACGTAAGCCGCTAGAGCATTCACTCCCCTTTCAAAGGTTTGGTATTTCGCTGCGGAGAATTTCGCTCTAGCGATTTGAGCTGCGGCTGGAGCCATGACGAGAGATTTTTAATTTATTTTAATGGCCGAAAGAAATAAATTACCGTCTCGAAAAACAACGACTTATCGACAGGCGAACACGAGATTTAAGTAATTAACGAATAAATGAATTTCAGAAGGCGCGTTGATTCTTAGAAACTATGATTAAGTTAAAGGAATGGAATGATTCAAATACATAGAAGATAAAAAAAAAGAGGGAGTGAACAAGAGTCTTATCTTAATTGGGATCCTGTCCCTCGATGCAGAGACCACTGGGCGGCGAGGCTTCCTTGGATGGGAGTGACAGCTGGACGTTGATAAGATGATTGCGTCCTTATTCAACGTAATCGGCGAGTAGTTGACAGTGTTCAGAGCTGGCGTATTCGCCAGTTTTTTAGTCCAATAAAACACAGCACGAACCGCACAGTTACGCAATGTTCGGTACGCATGCGCGTGTCAACTTATGTGTGGATGACATCACTTCCTAACAAAGGATGAGGTTATGTTCGACCTCACAGGAGGCACCATGTTTTGTCTTGAAAGGTTCACCTCTGAAATGCCGTAAGTGGCATTCCAGCAAATTTTTATTGAAAAGAATTAAAAGGAAATGATTTTAATTAAACAACTCAATTTCGCGTGACCTGACCCTTAAATCTACAAATGAATCAACCTTTAAGATTTTGATTCAAAACTGGTCCCTGCGGTTTGTTAATGTAGCACTGGTAACAAATAAACAACACTATTTTTGTGGGAAAAAAGCCTTTCGGCATAAAAAAACCCAATTTATTAAAATGATACAGATTGGATAAATTCGGATGAATTTGAATGTAAGGATGATAGAGTGATGCCGCACATAGTGACACGCACAAAGGTCGCAATTATTTTCGCACGGTACTATCACGTGTTCACATAAATTTTACGCGTGCGCGCGCGGATGATTTTTGCACACACATTCACACACTAAATAAATGTTGCTGGTAATATCAATGGTATCACACAAAGATGATTATAGAGAGAGAAATGAAGTTAGCTTGATATCGGTGATAACATACAAAATGAAAACAAGATTGACAAGACTTATGAGATTAGCTTGATATCGGTGATATCATACAAAGGCAATAGTAGACAAAGGAAAAGGTTCGTGGATTACTATCTGTAATCACCGCGTGGCAAGGGCCACTTATTTGTTTGTTATAAATAATAAACACTAGAGTTGCGCAATACGTTGTTTTGCGTCTTTGGTATTGTTAATCGTTGACGATTTTAATTATCACGATCACAAAATGAACCGGATTGCGTTGAATTTCACGGATGCAAACGAAGGTAGAAATTCGCGATCGCCCTCTACGCAAAGGCTGCTCGAGCTATACTAACCACGTGCTCGCGGTTAAATTGGCGCGAACTATCTAAAAACCGCGAAAGCATGCGCAGTTGGTGGCGCCATCTCCCGCAGTTCTCACTCAAGCTTGGCTCTCACGCTCACATATATACACACATGTGAGACGACGGAACAAAGACTATTTATTCGCGTTTACAACTTTTAAAACATAAAGACGATAATTACTATTCTGTTAGTACTGTAGCTTATCATGCCAGATGTTTGAGTAGTTTTTATTTGTACAAACCGAATAACGTAAAAGGAAAACCGATTAGTAATAAGATGTCTGATTTATTATCTTTTATAATTAATTACATTTTAGAAAACAGCGATGAGTGTCAATTTTCATTGAAAGAAATTTTAAATAAATACATAGAGATAAATAAGCAAACTGAACTACCTAGACTCGATAGAATCGAACAGCTTTTGATAAACCACTTTGGAAACGAAATAGTAACTTATGCAACTGGTAACGATAGGTTTATTTGTTTTAAACGAACGTTAGGAACATATCTTGAAGATACCTGGTATACTAAACGCAAAAATAATGAGAAAGAAGAAAAACTGAGATTAATAGAAATGGCCGCTCACATAATATTGCAAGATATACGAGCAATGAATTACAATTTAAATAGTTACAACTCTCCTTCCGAATTTTTAAATAATGTGAAAGACGATGTTTCAGAAACTTTAAAATTATTTCTGAATATTTTAATAAAAACGCATAAGAAAACTCCTAAAAATGGTTCTTGGATTAAATTGGAAAATAAAATTACTACCGCAGCTCATATTTTATTATCTTCGGTTAGACCGCGATCGTTTTTTTCTCCAATTTTATTAGGGCTTTCGTGCATGATGCACACAAAATTTGCAGCACGAGGACTTATCGATTGTTTGAATGATTTAGGTTTGTGTGCTTCCTATTCCGAAACCATTCGCTTTGAAAATTCAGTTGTTAACGACCCGGAAGTTTTTACAATTATTTCTGACTCGTATTTACAGTTTGTATACGACAATGCCGATCATAATACTGCCACGATTGATGGAAAAAACACATTTCATTGCATGGGTGGTATAATGAGCGTAACACCGAGGTCCTATGTAGCCCTTAGCAGTTCTGTTCCTCGTTTAAAAGGAACCTTATGTAAATCCGACACGGACGTTAGCACGTTCGGTTTCCTTCCACTGAGTGATTTTAAAAATGACAAACTTTTTAAATTAGATTCCGTAATAGTTCGTGACTGGAAAGAAATAAATAGTACTGATTTCTCAATTAAAATCGAACCGATAGATTTATTGTACTTTTTCGGAAAGCATACCGCAGCAAAGGCTACTCCTAATTGGCACGGGTTTATGAATAAATTCCATACATTTAATACCGATTATTGTACGTCAAGAATTATCGCTTTGCCATTTATTAATGCACCGCCAAGTAATCATAGAACTATATTAATTGCTTTGATTGACGCTAGAGTAAGAGCAAATAAAAATGATCAAAAGCACTGTTTCATTACATTCGATTTACCACTTTTTATGAAAGCAAATGAAATAGTTAATTCCATTAACCCTAGTAATGATCCTCATAATTTGCGCTCAATTATTGTACGTTTAGGAGGTTTCCGTTTATTAATGTCGTTCAACGGGGCTATTGGTAATATTATGGCTAGCAGCGGTCTGAAAGAGGCTTTTTGCACAGTTTATGCAGATTTATCAGCTGATAAAGCTTTAGCGGGTCATGCTTTTTCGCGATCTGTGAGAGGTCACCTTCTGGTACAAGCTGCCCTTGCCAATATTATTCTTAAAAAAATTGATTTTAGTGAAGATGAAATTGTTTATTTGAATAAAGGTTTAAAAAAAGTTGGAGAAAAAAATTTTGAAGATTATTTGTCTGATCCTTTAATTACTCAAGTAAAAGAAAAGTTTTTAGCCATTACACAAAAATTAGAATCAAATGGCCCTACAAGTCAACTTTGGCTACAATATTTCAAATTGATTTGCTTACTCTTGAGATTTATTGATGCAGAAAGATCTGGAAATTTCAATTTGCATTTAGAAACAGTGCTTTTAATGATTCCCATTTTTTTTTCTTCCGGTCACCATTTATACGCAAAAGCTTCTCTTTTATACCTTCAAAATATGATGAAGTTACAACAAGAAATGGATATCGTAGAATACGATAAATTTTGTAGGCGTGGTTTCTTTACTATCAGGCGTTCAAATCGATTTTGGTCCGGGATCTGGTCTGATATGACAATTGAACAGGTTCTAATGCGAGCAATGAAATGTACTGGTGGTTTGACACATGGTCGCGGATTGACCGAAAACGTAATCGCGACGTGGATTTTATCTAGAGCAGCTGTTTTAGAAGTCGGTAACGCTATGGAATTATTTTGCAACTTGAAATTTAGTTCGTCCGAACAACACGTAGACAACCGCGTATCTCGTATAATTAAAGATGCAGACGATTTATCAAAAATGCAAGAATTTTTCGCCACATACGATCCGTTTCCCGTAACAGATAATATTTTTGGAATTTATTCTGGTGTAGTAGGTGATTTAGCGACTGTAAACTGTCACAAAGCATACGAAATAGGTAAAATTTTAATGGAAAATACTTCAGGAAAAAAATTTACAGACGTTAAGTATAAAAGAAGTAATAAAGTTGTACATTTGGCGGCCGCGAATTCCGTGATGAAAAACGCAGCAGACGAGGAGGTTTATATGTCGCCACTGCTTATATTTCATGTTTATATGAATTATCTCCAATACCATTATCTCTTTTCGATGAAAACGGTATGCGCAAAACGAAAAAATCAGCTTTCTTTTCAAATTTTACTTTCACGAATAAAATCAAAGAGTCAAATATTATACATGTGGTTGATGGCGGATTCTTTTTACATAAAGTCGTATGGCAAAGCAATTTAAAAATAGAAGAAATAATAAATAAATATGTTTCATATGCGACAAAGCATTACCGTATGAATAGTAACTTCATTTTTGACGGTTACCCCGAGGACGAGACATTATCAACGAAGTCCGTTGAGCGATCACGTAGAAAATTAAAAAATATTAGTCGAGAAATAGTTTTTGATAAAAATACTAAAATTACTGTGAATCAAGCTCAATTTTTAAATAATGAGAGAAACAAAAGTAGGCTGATAAATATGATTTGTGCTGCACTTAATAAATCTGGATTTCAAACAGAAATTGCTCCTGAAGACGCTGATAGGCTTATAGTTTCTAATGCAATCGAAAATGCTCGCTTAAATCCCAACGCGACGATAATTATTGTAGGTCAAGATACAGATTTA